AGATACAGTTGCTAGGAAACTGGCCCAGATCACCCCTTTCCCCTAGGAGAGCCAAACAAGAAAACTAGACCATTAATGATTTGGGGGCCTTCCTATAGCCAATCAGTTCAAAATGCAACATTCCCCTTTTGTGTTTCAACCAATAGATGCTTGCCAGGCAGAAATTCCCCTGCTTTGGGCACACTAGGAGGGACCAGAGTCTTTAAATCAACCACCAACCTGAGCATAAAGCTCTCTGCTCTTAACTGCTGCAGCAGTGAGGGTGTAGACCCAAGCTATAGCTTGTAATAAAAAGATCCTCATGTGTTTTGCAATGGATTCGACTCCTGGTGGTCTTTTGGCATCTTGTGAATTGGGTACAACACAGACCAACAGCAAGCTTTGCCTCACCTCTTATGTTCTTTCTATAAAGGTAAACTGGCATCTTATTTATGGAGGAGCCAATAATTCATAATAGCTAGCTCTTAAACTTAATAGTTGCCTTTACTCCTAGGTCTCTCAGAAAACAATGACAAGAAACCCAAAACAAAACAGAAATTCAGACTTCTAAGCTCTGGCATGGATAGTCACAAGGAACTTCACAACTCATATACCAGTGCTGTTCCCTTTCAGTCCAGTACAGAAGACAGGGCGAGGCAGGCACAGCAGTTGAGGCACCGGAAGTTTTGCAGCATCTACTGCAGAACACCCTGCTGTCTCCTGTCCCATCCAGCAGGAGTTCAACAAGTTCCTAAGGAGGGGCAAAAAGAATGAAGTGGAGACAAGCAGACACAAAGAATGAGAGCAAGTCTATAATCTGATGTCTCTCTCTTTCATTTATTTGAAAAATTTCACACAACTTTATAGGGAGAAGGCAGGAAGGGAAAATGTGTCAGCAATATAGTTTATAAAACATAACAGGGTGATTAATGATGATGCAGAACACCGCAAGAACGTTTACTAAAAGAGATACTACAAGAATGTTAGCTAAGATATCTCAAAATGTCTAGCCTGACACACAGATGTCTCATAGGTTCCGGAAATATAAATCTCTCACCTACGAACTTGTTGCAGCTGTCTGTAACTTTCCACTAGCTGGCCTTGGCTCCCGGCAGTCTCCCTTTGAGCTTCTTATTTGAAGGAGAATCTGAGGAAATAGATCTTCAAATCTGGCCACTTTGTGTTTTAACTAACTGCTCACATTCCCTAATTTGTCTTTGTATATGGTTCTGGATGGCAGTGACTCTGGGTCCAAGGAGGTACCATACACTTCCCAGGTCATGCCCTGGTAATCCCACACCATGTTCCTGACTTACTTGGACTGTTTCAGCTGCACCCAGATGTTTCTTTTGTGGGCAGCAGCTGCCATCAACCTGCTGTCTCTGTGCAGGCTGGCCTGATTTCCCTCATGGCAGGGAGTCAAGCTGGGATTAGTCACTCTGAACCCAACCCACCTGAATTTGTAGTGAAAACTACAAATGACCACAAGACAGAGCCAGACTGCGAACTGCCTGATTCCCGAGGAGGTGCCAACAAAGATGACCAGCTCAAGAGCTCATACCCCACTGATAAAAGAGGTGCAAATGATAAGAATCCTGCTCCTCCTCCTATCATAAGAGAGCAGTCTCATCAAATCCCTATTGCTAAATTCTAAATCTCAGGTAAATGAATCAGAGGTCAAACTTGAACCCTCCCCAGGGAGGGAGAGCCAGAAGAACACCTTGGAAAAACACAGACAGACCAAGACAGTCATAAGCCTGAGCCTGCCATCTGATGGCACAAGTGACTCTAGCCTAGGCTCTGGCAAAAGGACCCCTTCTCTCTCAGTCAAGGTCAAGTTTATCATCTTAAATAGGATAATATTATCTAGAGATGGTTCCCAACACATTGTTTAAAGTCGTAATTTGAGGCCACTCTGGGGTGCAAACAAGACCTCTCAAAAAACAACAACAACAAAAAAAAAAGCAATGTCACAGACTGATAGAATAAAACAGTGTGATTGACTGAGGCAAGAAAATCAAAATCAAAATCTACCTGGGAATCTTAGAGAGATATTATCTCAAATAGAACAAACAGAGATGAGAATTTAATTCAGTAGAAGATTCATTACATGGGATTCAGCTAGAAGAAGGGTCCTGCCTCACTTTAGAACACATGCCTAAAATCCCCAAGTGAGGGGATGCAGTGTGGCTTACAGGTTGAGAGCTTGGTGACTATTAACACAAAATAGAACTTGGTCCACATCAATACAAAAATTAACAAACACATAAATTAAGGCAGGCTTCCTCCATGCTCAATTAATATCCAAACACTCTCCAAGGCTAACTATACCCTTTGAGTTTAGAGGAGACCTTAGAACTCAAGGTAGCAGAAAGTTTTAGGCAAATAGCTTTTAGAGCCCACATGATCTTGGATGGGCCTCCTTCATAGTTCCTCTTCTATCATCCCAGTTCTTTCTAATCTTGCCAACTTTATCAGTCCCTTTAAAAAAAAAAAACAAGTCTACAAAATCATCCCCACATAACATGACCAAGAGCACTGCGGACAGGGTTACAGGGGAATCCAAAGAGAGAAGTTCTAGAACTTTCAATGCATCTTGAGAAACATACAGGGACTGTGGGTTTCTCTCTTTAAGAACCTCTGTGTCACAAGAAAGTTATTGAATCTGGACTCATGTAACGTGAGAACTTTAATTTTAGTGACTCAGCTGGCTACTGAATTTATGCAAGCAATTGAAAAACTTTATTTAAGACAGAGAAATTTCAAGGCCTTAATTGGATCCAAGGTGCAGGAAAAACTATGTAACTTAAAAGACAAAGAACAGCAGTATTGCACAGTATCTCTTGTCCCAGGATATGCCAGAATCCACACTCTGCTCTGTCCTGATTTTCAGTTATTCCAAGATTCTGACCCCTTATGGATCCAGTGGTGTCAGCTAAGTCTGTTTTCCCCTGGGTTAACATGTTCAAGTTCAAGTTCATGTTTTCTGATGGTCTGTGGATGTTTTTTCTCTGCTCTGGGGAAACACACTATCAGTATGCATAAAGTTGAGAAATCACTATTGCAGCAAGAGGTGAGTGAGAGTCTCTTGTGACATCTTCAAAAATCTATATTTACGTGGAATTCCAGAAGTTGTTTTCATTGCTTTTGTTTTCTTTTGAGGGATGTTTTTGCACAGCCCTGCCTAGCCTCACACTCACAGAATAACCCAGGATAACCAACAACTACTGATCATCCTTTCTCCACACCTTGATTACTAAAGATTAGAGACATGTGGAGTGCATCTTCCTTGTACAGCCCTGGTGATTGAACTCAGAGTTTCCTGTATGCTAGAGAAGCACGTCACCGACTGAAATGTATCCCTAACCATGCGTATTATTTCCTATTTGTTTGTTTATTTATTTATTTTAATTAATTGTTTTTTACATCCTAGATCTAATATTTTCTCTTTTAATATAATAATAATTATTATTATTAATTTAAATTTATTCACTTTGTATCCTGACTGTAGCCCCCTCCATCATCTCTTGGTCCCACCCTCTCTCCCTCTTCCCCTGCTATGTCCCTTCCCTACTCTACTGATAGGGGAGGTCCTCCTCCCCTACTATCTGATCCTAGCCTATCAGGTCTCATCAGGGCTGGCTGCATCATCTTCATCTGTGGCCTAGTAAGGCCACCTCACCAAGAGGAGGTGATCAAAGAACAGGCAACCAAGTTCATGCCAGTGACTGCCTCTGCTCCTCTTACTAGGAAACTCCCATGGAAACTGACCTCCCCATGGGCTACATCTAAACAGGGGGTCTAGGTCCTCTCCATGCATGGTCCTTGGTTGAGTCATCAGTCTCTGAAGGCTCCTCTGGGCCTAGATTTTTTTTTTTACTCAGTTAGTCTCCTTCTGGAGCTCCTGTCCCCTCCAGGTCTTTCTAACTTTCATAATATTCCTTGCCATCTGCCCAAAGTTAACTATGAGTCTCAGCATCTACTTCGATACCCTGATGGGCACAGTCTTTCAGAGGCCCTCTGTAGCTCCTGTCCTGTTCCCTGTCTTCTCCTACTTCCAATATCTATCCTGTTTGCTCTTCTGAATGGGGATTAAGCATCTTCCTTATTGTCTTCCTTATTGTTTAGCTTTTTTAGGACTATAGATTTTAGCATGTTTACCCTATATTTACAGCTAATATCCACTTATAAGTGAGTATATACCATGTGTGTCTTTATGCTTCTGGGTTACCTCACTCAGGATGATCTTTTCTAGTTCTATTCATTTGCCAGCAAATTTCATGATTTCCTTGTTTTTAATTGCTGAGTAGTATTCCATTGTGTAAATGGAACTTACAACTTACAACAAATACAACTTCTGTATCCATTCTTCAGTTGAGGGATATCTAGGTTGTTTCCAGAGTCTGACTATAAAGCTGCTCTGAACATAGCTGAGCCAATGTCCTTGTTGTATACTTGAGCATTTTTCAGCTATATGCTTGGGAGTGGTATAGCTGGATCTTGAAGTAGCACTATTCCTAATTTTCTGGGAAAGCTCCAGATTGATTTCCAAACTGGTTGTATAAGTTTACATTCCCACCAGCAATGGAAGAGGGTTCCACTTTCTCCACAACATCTCCAGCATATGTTGTCACTTGAGTTTTTCATCTTAGCAATTCTAATGGGTGTAAGGTAGAATATCAGGGTTGTTTTATATTTGCATCTCCTGGATGACTAAGGACACTGAGCATTTCATTTAGTGTTTCTCTGCCATTCAATGTTCCTCTATAGAGAATTCACTGTTTAGCTCTGTACCCGATTTTTTATTAGATTACTTAGTTTGTTGTTTAACTTCTTGAGTTCTCTATATATTCTGGATATTAGCTCTCTGTCAGATGTGGGGTTGGTGAATGGAACATGTAATCAGGCTCTTGAAATCCAGAACAAACCAGAGTAGCAACCCGTTGTCAATGTTAGATTTCAGAGCTCTAGGTTACATGTAGTTTGCTTTCTGCTGCTGTAATAAACACCACAACCAAAAGCAACTGAGAGAAGAAATGGTTTATTTCATCACTGAGGGAAGTTACGGCAGGAATCAGGAGGCAAGAATGAAAGAAAGAAAGAAAGAAAGAAAGAAAGAAAGAAAGAAAGAAAGAAAGAAAGAGTTCAAGGGTAACAAACAAAAAACCAAAGAACCTATATTAGTGCTACCCAGTCTCTAGTTTTTTGCTGAAGGAGTATGATTGACCAGGAACATTCCATAGCTTATATTGAGAAAGAAGCATTTTCAGAAGATTGTCTATGTCCAAGGCTGCCCTTTTCATGCTTGCTCCAGATGATGTATTCTTTGGAGCTAAAAAACTTTTATATAAGCTGAACATATGTTTCTAGTGTGATCTATTTAACAGGCAGAAGACATTGCACAAGTACAGAGTAAAAATAGTTGCCTCTCTAGGGAAAAGGACAGATGGCTGCTTAAAACTGAAGAGGCCATGGAAGATCACATCTACCTAACTTGTTCCTCATGGATTGCTTATCCAGCTTTGCTATACAAACCAATAGTAACTGCCCAGAGCTGGCACCTCTAACAGCACTGGGCTAGGTCCTCCCACACCAATCACTAATCAAGAAAATATCCATGACATGACTATATGCTGGTCAGTTAGAAGCATTTTCAAAATTGAGTTTCCCTCTTTCCAGATGACCATCGCACATGTTAAGTTGACCAAAAACTATCCATTCTACATGAGTTTTTAGTGAAGAAGTAATGACTTGCATCAGTCAGTTGTCAATGGGTCAAATAGCAAGTGGTCCCTCCTAAGGAAAAAAAAGAGGAGCTCGTGCACACAGAGAGAGACAGAGACAGAGACAGAGACAGAGAGATCACTTTGAGATGTGCCATGTTCCCAGAAAGAAATGCTTTTGAGAACACTTCAAGGAGATTGCTGCTGCCCGTGCCACTACTGCTGCTCCTTGTTGTTGCTTTTGGATTGCTAGATGGCTGGCTTTCTGGTTTTCTGGATTGCTGGATAGCTGGAATGCTGATTTGCTGAACTGCTGGATTGTGGAGTGCTGAACTGCTGGATATTCTGACAATGAAGAGTGAAATTGTCCCAAGGACCTTTGTCAGAAGAGGTCAACATCTCTTGTAGACCTTCTTTGTCACTTTCATAGGGTTGGCAGCTTGTTAGATATGTAGAGGCTTAAGGAACCCCAAATAAAATAAGTTTAAAAAAATCAAAGCCTATACAGAATAGTCAAAACAATCCTATACAATAAAAGAACTTCTGGAAGTACCAATATGCCTGATTTCAAGTTGTATTACAAAGCAATAGTAATAAACTCCATGTGATATTGGCATAAAAACAGACACATTGCTCAATGGAATTGAAACCAAGACTCAGAAATAAACCTACACACCTACAGACACTTGCTTTTTGACAAAGAAGCCAAAACGATACAATGGAAAAATAAAAAAGAAAGTACCTTCAACAAATGATGCTGGGTATAACTGGATGTCTACATGTAGAAAAATAGATCATATTTACCACCCTGCACAAAACTCAATTCCAAGTGGATTAAAAACCTAAACATAAAACCAGACACACTAAATATATTAGAAGAAAAGGGGGGAGGTGCCTTGAACTCATTGTCAGAGGAGACAACTTCCTGAACAGAACACCAACAGCTCAGGCTTTGAAACCAACAATTAATAAATGGGACCTCACAAAGCTGAAAAGCTTCTGGAAGGCAAAGGACACCATCAGTAGAAAAAAGGGCAGCCTACAGATAGGAAAAAAGATCTTTACCAATGCTCTGAAAGAGAAGACTAATACCCAAAAGTATAAAGAACATGAAAAATTAAACCCCAACAAGCCAAATAATCCAATTAAAATGGGATACAGAGATAAACAGAAACTTTCTTAACAGGAATCTCTAATACCTAAGAAGCATTTAAAGAAATGTTCAACATCCTTAGCCATCAGGAAAATGTAAATCAAAACGGCTCTGAGATTCCATCTTATGACAGTCAGAATGGTTAACATCAAATGTCGCTGCCTGCAGCTTAGATACCTCCTGAGAGAGGGTTGGGAGAGAGAGAACAAGGCAACACGAAGAGGGACACCAAGTCTTTGATCAAGGTGCCAATTTATTGAAGGGAGAGCCAGCTATATAAAAGCAGGAGAGAACGAGGAACTTTCTCACAGTAACGTCCATCTGCATCAGCTGGCAGATCATACGAGGATTCACTCAAGGTTGCACAGAACCCACCATCTGGCTCCAGGGTTGTGTGGAGCTTGCCTATCTTGTTCCCAGGAACAGAGCTTCCTAAAGCAAAGCTTGCCAAGGTCGGTCTTTCAGAAGCTGACTGACTGCCAAAGTCAGAAGGCAAAACTTTATTTACCAGAGACCACTACTCAAACTCAGCACCAAACAGCAAATACGCACTCCATTTTGGCTAATCAAATCTACTCTGGCTGCCATAATTCCTCCCTTTCAAATTAAAACAAAAGGACCGTGCCTGTCTTAGGTGGCGCAATTCCAAATAAATACTGTACCTATCATGGAAGAATCCCACTTACAGGAGGACTTCCCATCTTTCGTGAGTACTTATCAATCATCTGTTACCTGTCATTGACTAACCAGCACATGCACAGGAAAGGAGAGGTTAAAGCTGATGTTTGAGCTGGGCAAGCCAAACCCCTACCTGGGGTGAGGGAGTTACAGCATGCCGCTGTTCAATAGCCAAAAGGACTTTGTGCGTGGTATCATTAAATCTAAGCTGCTGCTGTCAAGCTGAGTGGACACATCTGGCAATTATAAAGATGAATAGTACCAAACCAGACAAACATGCATAAATGAAAATCCAGGATGGATCAAGAAGCTTCTTTAGATGTTCCCAGATGCGTGTCAGAAAGGAAGAGTCTATATCCAGTGGCTCCACAACAATTTCCTGTAACTTAGTAAGATCATTAGCAAGTTGAGCAGATAATTGCACATACTTTGAATCCCATTGGCCCTTAATAAGCGTAAAGACATGTTAGTAACAGGAAAAGGGGTGAGACAGAACTTACCATAAAGAGGATCACAGGAATATTTAGACATGCTTTTGGCTACGTCAGTTTATTTAGACAAAAAAATCTATTTGTTGCTGCAAAACCAAAATGGCCTAATGAAAATGATTATTAAGAAGCAATTGAGTTTGATAAGCAGTAGCTGTGGTATTAACTAACTGATTTAATGCTGCAGCAGTAATGGTATTCTGAGAAGAGCCACTGCAGCCATAACTCCTCCTGCAAGGGCAGATAGAATAGCTGCTGTAACATCCATAGTAATGCCAAAATATGTTTTAAATCTAGTAACAGTCATAAGTCCAACTTTGTGACAATGACCTGGGGAAACAACTGGTACCCACAAGCTAGCAGGTGTTCTAACAACTCCTGCAAAAGGGAAAGTTAATATTCCAACAGGAGAAAATTCTACAAGAGGCTATAGAACAATTAATTTCTGCAGATAACAATGGACTTTTAACTAGTAAAAAGAAAAAAAGGTGGTTTTAAACAAAACTTAGCAGGAGAAAGAGTAGGACTAACTTTTGGAGTTGCTGATAAAGGTTGCCTGTAATAGCATTAAAACACATAATACCATTTTCTACAATGGTCATATTCAAAGAGCAGAGAGATCTAATATCCATACAACTCAACTTTCCACATAAGTAATATGGGCCATCATCCATGGATACTTCATAGGTATGCCGTTAGCATCAGCCACAGGGTCAGTGTGCTGTCTGACTCATAATCCTGGTTTATTTAATGCCTGCAAGGGCTGATGAGGAGATAAACAATAAACCCAGGGTCAAGGAAGACCTACAGAGGTAGAATAAATACTTCCTTCAGAGCAACTAGACAACTCTACTAAAGCAGGATGAACAGTTAAATTAGACTAGCCAACAACAACTCAAAGGTCAGCAAATATTAATTCATATCCAAAATCTGGCTATAGCCAATAAGTATCGGCATGTCTTCCATAGTAAAGTTGAACACAAGGGAGATAAAGCTTAATGTAAGAACATCTAATAAATGAACCAGCAAGCTTAAAACAAACTGAATCAGTAAAATTATAAAACCCAGAAATATCTGTAGAAGTATCTACAGAAGAAAAAGGTAAACCTAAGCTATCATTGTTAGAATATAAGACAGGAAACAAACGTGCACTAACATGCACAGGGAGAACAACAGGAGGGGTTGGGCACTAAAGCCCAAAGGTTTAACTCAGTCTTAACTGGATGAATCAGCTGCAACAGGATCAGCAATATCATCACTTGGGGAATGATCTTGTTCCTTGATGTAATCCACTTGTTGCACCAGTCTCTCTGGCAGCCATCAGGCAGCATCCTCATTCTGTGAAAAAACACAAACATATCCTCATCCCCAAATCAAAACAGGATCGGGTCCATGCCATGAAATATTTAAAGGATCCTTCCATTTAACCGGCCAGCAGTGACACCTGAATACCACCTGAGAGAGGGCTGGGAAGAGAGAGAGACAGAGCGACACAGAGAAGAACACCAAGTCTACATGCTGATCAAAGTGTCGGTTTAATGGACGTCAGGTTAACACTTAAATAGATAGAAAAGTACAAGCAGTTTCTCACACAGGCAATTTTTACTTAGCCAAAACATAAGAGGGCTCACTCAAGGTTACACAGAACCTGCTGTCTGGTTACCATGGTTACATGGAATTTATGGTCTAGTTCTCAGGGCCGGAGCCCTCTGCTGTATAATTGCCAGGGTCAAACTCTTAGCCACCAAGCTTTAGACAGGAACCAGGACCAAGAAGCCGAATTCCCTTGCTGAGATGTGCATGCCAATCTGCCATAAACTCCAAATGGGCTGCCACAATTCCTCCCTTTCAAATTAAAGCAAAGGAGCCATGCCTGGCTTGGGTGGGGGTGATTCCCAATAAATACCTTACCTGTCATGGGAGAATTCCACTTATAGGGGGATTTCCGTGTCTGAGGTTGGTAAATATCCCATCACTCAGAACCCGTCATTGACTAACCGGCCCATCATACAGGAAAGGAAAGGTTAGAGCTGACGTTTGAGCTGGGCAAGCCAAGCTCCTACCTGGGGCAAGGGAGTCACAGCATGCCCTTGTTCCATGGCCAAAAGGACTTTGTACGTGGTCTCATTAAATCTAGTTTGGCACTGTTGAGCTAAGTAGACGCATCTGGCAAATACAAAGATAAATAGTACCAGACCAGCCAAACAAAGGTGTGCTAACAAGTACAGGGAGAACAACAGGGGATTGGGCACGAAGGCTCAAAGGTATAGCCTTTACTGAATGAATCAGCTGCAACAGGATCAACAATATTGTCACTAGGGGAATGATCTTGTTCCTTGATGTAATCCACTTGTTGCACCAGTCTTTTTGGCAGCCTTTGAGTATCATCTTTAACCTGCAAAAAAGCACAAACATATCCTCGTCCCCAAATTAAAATGGGGTCGGGTCCATACCATGTATAATTTAAGGGGTCCCTCTATTTAGCCATGGAGGTTTCAGGGTGTCAAAAATGTTCAGCTGCAGATTTGCAATGTTTGTCCAGAGTTAAAAATTTTAAATTGAGCTCTGGATGAACGAGGAGGACATAATTCCCCCTTTTTTGTCTTTTATAAATACATCTTAATGGTGGCACATGTTTAACCATGCTTTGGCCTATCCGATTATAAGGAATGCCTGCTACATGCTTAATATTTAATTTTTTACAAAAAAATTGAAAGGGCTTGCTGGTATAAGCTGTTTTATTATCAGTTTTAATTTGGTGTGGCACTCCAAGAACAATGAAGGCAGCCAAACAATGATCTATAATGTGGCATGCAGCTTCTCTAGAATGCAAGGTAGCAAAAATAAATCTTGTATAGGTATCAATAATTATATCAATAAATTTTAATATTAATCTGCAAGTTGAGCAGATAACCCTGGAACTTGAAAAATAACTTTTTGTCCTTTAACAGTATAGCCAGCTTTTCTTTTAGCATTACCATCAGAAAAAATAGAGCAAGCATTTTTAAAAGGTTTATTTTTAATTATGGTAGGAAAAACATTATGTAAAGTAAAAAATTGAATAATCTTATTGGAAGGGTAATGATTATCTAGTTATCTAACCAAAAAAGGTAACCATTTATCTGAATTGTCATAAAGCCAATTAATTTTAGCCTTACTATATGGTATAATAATCTTGGAAGGCTCAATTTTGATGTCAGCCCTTGCCTGGGTGTGTCCCGCCACAATGACCTGGGCAATGGCCTCATAATAAGGCAAAATTACTTTATTGGGACTAGCTGGCAAGTGGATCCACAATAGAGGATTAGATTGTCATAACAATCCTGTTGGAGTAAACTGTGATTGAAATATAAGTAACAGGAGAGGAATATCTGGATCCAAATATGTTACAAATTGTTTTTTTTTAAAGCATTTTCCATTATCAATAATGCATCTCGAGCCTCTGGAGTCAATTTTTGGGGGGAGGTAGGAGCTGCATCCCCTTTAAGAACATTAAACAATGGCATAAGTTGTCCAGTGGTTAATTTTAGATATGGCCTAAGCCAATTTATATCTCCCAATAATTTTTGAAAGTCATTAAGGGTATTTAAATTATCTTTTTTAATTTGTACTTTTTGATGTTTAATAGCCAGAGGAAAAAAATTAAAACCTAAATAACTATAAGGATCTCTACTTTTTACCTTCTCTGGGGCAATTTTTAATCCTGCTTGGGACAAAGCCTCAGATAGATCTGTATAGCAAGCCATAACATCTTGAGCTATAGCAGAGGCTAATAAAATATCATCCATATAATGAATGATATAAATAGAAGGCTATTTTTTCCATACTGGACTAATAGCATTAGCTACAAATTGTTGACATAAAGTAGAATTATTTGCCATGCCCTGTGGCAGCATCCTCCAATTATAACATTTCATAGGTTCCTTAAAATTAATAGAAAGGAGACTAAAAGAAATCTATGGCAATCCTCAGGATGCAAAGGAATGGAAAAAAAAACAGTCTTTTAAATCTAAAATAATCTTGTGTTTTGAGGAATCCCACTAGGTGATGGGAGTCCTGGTTGCAATGCTCCCATTTACTATCGTCTCATTTGCCTTTTTTAAATCTTGTAATAATCTAAATTTGTTAGATTTTTTTTAATTAAAAAATGGGTGTGATGGGTTTTATAGAATTTAACTCTGATGGTCCAGGACCAAACTCAGAGGTGTTGATTTAAACTGTCTCATGTCCAAAAAATATAGTCAATCCAAGTCCACAGAGAAGCATACACACAGAGAGACATACATAAGGAACACAGAAATCTGACATTTTCACCTCAGCGTAACCAGAATACCAGATAACAGGACTTGACCGGCCCCTACCGGACACAAGTCCCACAGATTCCAGAAGGAGTGGGCTCTCTAATGGGCCCCCTCCACACACATAGATTTCAGAAGGAACAGAGACCCCACGGCCCTCTCCACATCTTTCAGATGGAGAACGGGCTCCAGCAGCTCTCTTTTCGTACAGAGGAGGTTCGCAGCGACCCCTCTCCTGGTCCCAAAAGGAGTAGAGCCCCTACAGGCATCTGGGGCTCACTCTTGGCCCCCTCCCTAGGAACTGGAGCATCCTCCAGATTCCCTCCAACCAGATTGGAAACTCTTCAAGTGTCCCCAGACCTCGCGAGCAAAACGGAAACCAGAAACCAAAACAGACAGCCGGCAGACAAAAACAAAAACAGAGACAAAGACAAAAAACAACCATGGTACCTGCTTTTTAAACATTTAAATGTTTTTTAAAACCTGTTTTTGCAATATTAAAACAAAGCATTTTTAGGAGTGAGATCATAAAGCATATTTATAATTTTAAAAGTCAAAACCAAACTTCAAAATTTACCAGTGCAAACAAACTAATACCAATTTAAAGTGAGGCTTGTCTTTGCAGTCTAAAAGTGTAAGACCTGGGGTCTCACAGCTAAGGAGTTCAAGATCGCACCCATCCCAGAAATCCCCACAGACCATGACTCGTTGCAAAAGCAAGAGGTTTAATTTAACCATTGTGCAATGGGGTCACCCCTGCCGGTCAGCAAAGAGTGGCACCGGGAGACAAAAGCCTTAGGTTTTTAAAAGAAAAATTGCGGGAAATTTGAAGTTGTAGTTTTGTCAATTTAGGATTGGATGAGGAAGCTATAAAGTAAGATAATTGGTTAGTCTTAGGTGCTCAAGCTTGGCCAGTCCTGCCAAGTGTGGATGCAGCTGCAATTGAAGGTGGGGGTGGTTAGCTCATCCTTGAAGATTGGGGCTGTGGGCTTTTGGCTGGAGGTCAGGAGCTACTCAGAAGAAGGATTGAGGCTGTCTGGGTTGGTTGCTAAGAAACACTATCTCGAAGACAAGGGTCTGGTCCTTTTTGCTGAGTGAAGGTCATTGCTTGCTCGCTTTTTTTCTATATGTCCTCACAGATAGGGTCACATTTCTCCATTCTCTGGAAAGGTACCAAGAGGCTTTAGCTTAACCTGAACCTAAAACTCAAAACTATAGGCTTTAGAAGATATACGGGTTACAAAGTTATTCTAACCCTTTCAAAAGGAAACAAAATTTATGTTAACTAAGAAGTTTTATAATAATTTTTTAATCTATATCATATAGCAAAGATGGCAGAGTCATATCATATGGTTGCTTTTAAACATATGTTTATAGACGTTATAAACATATATGCATATATTTTTTTCTAAACAACAGTTTGAATATAACTTAAAATATATTTAATTACTTTTGATCTATAACCTAGATATATATTAACCACTTAAGATGACCATATATTTAAACAGACAGATAAAACTCTTTTTACTGGATTCAGCTGTAATTTTAAGCATGATAGTCAAGAGCGGCCCAATATCAGCACAAAGTTTAATATAACCAGTTAAGCTTGCTTTAGCTCGATAGGGTCTGATAGCTGTATTACAGGCTGAAATAGCATTCTCAAAAGCCATGCTGCACAAAAGGAAGTCCACTCTGAGTGACTATCCTTTTTGTGCTACATTAAAATTATTATTATTATTATTATTTATTAATATTTAACTTTTTCAAAATTTTTAAATAATTGAACCTATTTTCTTTTCAACTGCTGAGCCATCTCTCCAGCCCCAAACCTGTTCTCTTTTTAATTGGATTTTCTCTCAAAGAACAGTAATATCTTCCTGCAATGATCCCATGCCACCCACACATAGCAGGGAAAGCCATAGGGGCAGAGGGCATAGGAGGCCAGTCTGAATTATGAGACTTGGTAGCTTTTTTCTCTGACTCCATTTCATACTCATTATCTAGAGCTTGTCTCCTAAATCATTTTTTGCTCTCAAATTACCCAAATCTGTTGAGCTCTTTTATGAACATTTGAAATAACCTTAGAAGTACTTTTTTCTCTGTCTGTTTGGCTGCTTTAAATTTTCCAAGCAACTCTTTAGTTTTACAAAGTAAAGGGTTTAGGAAGTTTTATCCTAATTCTCTGTGTCTTAAAAACCTATTTAAGGGATTTGATAGATCCCATCTTACTAGTTCCCTGCCCCTGACAGCCACCCAACACCTTGGTCAGTTGCTTTGTGTGCACTCCTCTTGCTTGAAACCTGAACTTTCTAGTGTAGGATTCACTCAGATGGTATGGGTTTTGAAGGAATGAATGAAGTCATGGAAAGCAGCTGAGGCCTGGCACTGTGCTGGAGAGCTAAGGTTCCTGCAGAGAGCCCAGGAGAGGTTGTTTGTGAAAGTGAAGCCTTGTTGAAGGAAAAGAATCCACTCTTTGGAGCTATCAATATGAGCAGCACCTGTGGAGTGCTGAAAACAATGCAGCTTCAATGCTCCATCTCTTTAAGAAAAGAGACCTGACCTCAAAAAAAAAAAGCTTCTCAAAACAGTGGTGCAAAAATAGCCTGGGAAAAGGGCCTGGGAAGAACAAAGGGCTTTGAATATCTGACTAAAGTGGGTGAGGATCGGATGGATTGGACCTGTGCAGCAGTCTCTTGAGCAAGTCCAGCTCTGCAGTGGGTGGAGACTGCAGTTTTCTGGCTGGCACCGCAGG